CACGAAAGCGATTGTTCATGTAAAAAATAGCGGTCAACGTTACAATAAGTCCTCTCTCTATAAATACATGTTAAGAATGCGAGTTTATGAAGTCTTTTCTTTGGATATTCATGATAAAATAATTTAAATAATTCCAAAATACTTTGTGTAGAAATATATATTATAATAATTTATAGAAGCTAGAGTTAGTTTCTGTATAATCATTCTTGAATCTGGTATTTGTGAATGATCTTAACGTGTTGAAATTGTAAAATTTTCTTTAAAAGAAACAGCAATGGGAGTGGAAATAAAGGCACAAGAAAATGAAGAATCTGAATATGTAAAAGCCATTGGAAAGTAGGCATTGTTTATTCTTTATCACTCATCCATTATTAGATAATTTATTTATAATCTTTTATAGAGTGGAAGAATTGATAATTAACAGGATATCAACACCTTGGTTATGGCCTGATATATTTTTTAACATATCACCAACTGGTAGAGAATTTAGAAAAGTGGTTAACACAATACAAAGTTTTATTAAAAAGGTAAATCATTTAGAATTATTAAATCTTCATAATTAACTATGAATGAGTGCGAATCATTTTTTCTAGGTGATACAACAAAAAAAGAAAGAAATGCAAGAAAATTTAGAAGATAATATTAATGAAGATGATAACGAAAATATCTACATGCAAAGCAAAAAGAAGAAAGCATTCCTCACGTTACTCCTTCATCATTATTTAAAAGATGGGGATATTACTGAAGAAGATATTCGTGATGAAGTGAATACATTTATGTTCGCGGTATGTAACTGATCTATCTTCATTTTCTCTATGATTTTTTATGCTAATTTTAAGGTAATTTTGGGGGGATTTAGGGACACGATACCACTGCAGTTGGCATCAGTTGGGCTCTATACAATTTGGGATTGTATCCACAAATACAACAGAAACTCTATGAAGAAGTTCAAAGTATTTTTGGTGAAGATAAGGAAAGAGCAGTTAATCAAAATGATCTTCGAGAGATGAAATATCTAGAATGTTTTCTAAAGGTTAATATAATTTAATCAATTGAATATTGTTAATCAAAAACAATTAATTATGAATATTCATAATAAACAGGAATCTCTCAGATTGTATCCATCAGTTCCAACTATTATGAGAACTAATAATAAAGACTTTAAGCTAAGTAAGTGTATTATTAACTAAACAAACAATATACCGAGATATTAATAATAAATTTATTAAATTTTAGATGATGAAATCACAATTCCAGCAGGAACATCAATTTGTATTTATATATATTTACTCCATCGTGATCCTGAACTTTATCCAAATCCTGAAATATTCGATCCTGATAGATTTCTACCAGAAAATTCTATAGGAAGAAATCCTTATGCTTATATTCCTTTTGCAGCAGGACCAAGAAATTGCATTGGTAAGTATTTAATAAGGATCAATTTAAATATTGTCCTGAATGTAATTCTCGTAATCTTTCTTATTATTTAGGGCAAAAGTTTGCTTTTATGGAAGAGAAAATTGTCCTTACTAATATTTTACGTCATTTCCGGATCAAATCTCTGGATCCACCCGATAAAATTACGGAATGTGGAGAAATTGTACTTCGTCCTATGAATACTTTAAGGTTGCAATTCGTGATGAGAAATGAATAGAATCATTCAATTTTTACTGTATTTATCTACGTATTAGATATAAACAATTAATTTTTGTATTCTAGAAAATTTCTACAATATAATTAAGAATTTACTTCGATTTCTTTATGCTCTAACAATACAATTTTTGTACTTTAAAATAGAATTTTTATATATACAGTGTAATCAATAATGTAAATGTAACACATCAGATTGAATTCCTAAATGGAAAAAATCAAATACAAAAATAGGAAAAAAAAATCATCTACATATTTTGGAGATTAAATATTAGTTTTGTTCAGATGTTCTATTGAAATATCAGAGTCCATTATTTATATCAGGCATATTTAGATAATAGCATCTGTTGTAGGTATCGTACGTCGTGACTATATTACTTGTATGAATAGAAATATAGATTACGTTTACCTTCAGAATAAAATTATTTACATATTTTTCGTGGTACGAATAGAGTTTATTACATTATATTTAACCAATATAATAATAATAATAAAAGATCTTATTAAATTGTAAATTCGTGACGTAAATTGTAGTGTAAAAATTATTATTGTATAAGAATTATTTCGTATAAACTACGTTACAAATAGAATTGTTACGCCACAATTGTTTTATAAATCTGCTTGTATTTGATGTATTTGAACTTAATTGCCGAGTTTCGTAGCAATTGGTCAAACGGTATAGGCGTGCATAACGAACAAACATCCTCATTTATATATATAAACAATTAAATTTTACCTGATTTAGTTATTAATATTACATTAATTATTCTTAAATAAACAAAACTTTCAATTATTATCAATTTTTAATTTATGTTATCATTAATTCCATTATTTTCTGGTAACTTAACTTATTCCCTGCTATTAAGTGCGCTTTTTAGACAGTGAGGTCATTTATGACATCACAAAAGTACAGTCGACCCCCTATAACGCGGTACATACGTTCCACTTTATACGAATTTCGCGTTGTAGGAATCTTTAAATACATGAGTAAATCACAGCCCGACACGTGTGCAGTTTACGGACTACGGCTGTTTGAAAGGTTTTCTTCCATAAAATTAATCGATTCGAGACTAATTTGACTCAACATTTCCAATACTCGTATAATTTTTTTGGGAATAATCCGTATAAACTATGCTATAAACCAGGGGTGGCCAACACGAGGCCCGCGGGCCGCATGCGGCTTGCCGGTAGTCAAGTTGCGGCCCTCGGAGCTAGGTCAAATGAACGTAAATGTTAACTTTATTGTACATATCACTAAAAGAACATTACGTCATGAGTTATTCGTATCATGTATTTTTAAATTACAGCTAAGAGAAATTTGAAATATCTCTCATTTTTGGAAAAATTCATAGATTTTTAGCTATTTCAAACATCCCGCTATTTGACGCTCAGGGTTACTTAGTTTTTTGTCCGACGCTAGGTGTTNCAATACCGTAGAATTTAATTAATAATATAGAAGGTTTTATGTTTATTTTATAATGCAGATCCAGAGAATTATGGAAGCCAAGACGAAAGTTATTAACACCAGCATTTCATTTTAAAATTCTAGAAAGTTTTCATACAGTTATCAATAAACATTGTTTTATTTTAATCGATAAACTAGAGAAAAAAGTACAAGATCCATGGGTGAACATCACTCGCATGTTATCCTTATGCACTCTTGATATTATAGCAGGTATCTATTATTAATCCAATTGCTACATAATCTTATAAGGTATTAGTATATTTTTATAATATATTTATTAAGAAACTGCAATGGGAGTAGAAATAAATGCTCAACGCGACGAAGAATCTGAATATGTCAAGAATGTTAACAGGTTTTGAAACACTTTATTTGTATAAGTTTCAGAATTGACTGATCTATATCCTGTAATTCATCTTGTAATTCCAGAATTGAAGAATTGATATTGTTGAGAAATATGCATCCTTGGATGTGGTCTGATATGCTCTTTAGTATATCCTCATCAGGAAGAGAATTTAATCGTGTACTTAATACAGTACATAACTTTACTAGAAAGGTACGATTTAAAAATGTGAGGAAGATTATTCTTTTGTCCTTTCACATGATCGAATCTTTTCATTCTCTATATTATCATTTTCTGTAATTTAAATTTTCAGTTTTTTTCCAAATTTATGATCTATATCAGTGTTTTTCAACCTTCTTGAATACGCGACCCCTTTACAAGTTAAAAAATTCTGGCGACCCCCCAGGGCCATATTAAAATTATATCAGTGATTTTAAAAACTACGTATTTAATTTTCTTTCTGTTGAGACCTAAATATCAATTAAAAAACCAATTGTACTGTAAAATAAACAGATACAGTTTTCTCACTGAAATTGTAGTTTTCTTTATTGTAGTATAGGACCTACAAACACTTGTCTTTTTCTTTTACCCGCGACATCCCACGTAAGGCTTTGCGACCCCTCTGGGGGTCGCGACCCACAGGTTGAAAAACACTGATCTATATAATAGAATCATTACAAAGTAAACACTATAATTCATATTCTTATCTTCGAATATGATTACTAAAATAGCCTACTTAATACTGAGAAACTGTCTGTGAGCATCTCTAGTGAACCCTCAAAGCTTAAATAAGCTCTTTCTTCCTCTCTGTTCAAAATTGCTCACTTGTTTATCATTAATGTGTTCTAAGATGCTGTCCATAAACATAATTTTATATATGTGTATAATATGTGTATAATATTTATAAGATGAAGGAGTCATTTCAAGTTTTCTATGTTAATAGGTAATATCTGAAAGGAAACAAGAAATGCAAGAATATTTAAAAGATAACAAAGTCTCTATCGATGAAGATTCTGAAAATGTATATACTCAGAGTAAGAATAGAAAACCATTCCTCACCCTTCTTCTCCATCATCATTTGAATAATGGAGACATCACTGAAGAAGATATCAGAGAAGAAGTGGATACCTTCATGTTAGCTGTATGTATATAAGCTGTATATATAACACTAGACGTATTTTTAAGTAGTACTTTAGAATCATTCTTGCTTCAGGGCCACGATACTACGTCAGTAGGCATTTCATGGACATTATACAATCTCGGACTTTATCCCGATATACAGCAGAAAGTATACGACGAAGTTGTTAGTGTATGTGGAAATGATAAGAGAACACCAATTACATCAGAAGATATCAAAGAGATGAAGTATTTAGAATGTGTTATAAAGGTATATTTATAACTCTAGCATTATAAATTATATGTATCTGCTGTTAGTTATTTTAAATTCTGTAAATTTAGGAAACACTTAGATTGTATCCATCAGTTCCAGTAATTGGAAGAGAAACCAAAGAAGATTTTAAATTAAGTAAGCAACTTGTTATACGGGATGATCATATTTAAAGTTTCCCTACTGACTATGAGTACTACACATATTATAGACTATGAAAAGGATGAGGAAAAGGATGTTACAAAAAGTTTTAGTTCAAAAATTTCTGCTAGAAAATACTTTACAAAAAAATATACGAAGCAAAACAGGAAAAGAAAACGCACAACGAAATTGCATTTATTCGTACCACAAAGGACATGCTTNATATAAATTTAAACGTTATATGTATTATTAGAATGGAGAGTTTGATTACGGAAAGAACAATGTATCCTTGGTATCGATTCGATTTTATTTACTACTTAATATCAGCTGGAAAAGAATTCAAGAGATGTGTAAACATCATACATAATTTCACTAGACAGGTCAGTAAAATCTATTTTTCGTAATACATAGCAAATGATAAAAGACTTATAAAGTTGAGAAATTAAAAATTGTTTATAAGAAAATTATTAATTATTTATTAATTATTGATATATAACTCAACAAATCTAAGGTCATATCGGAGAGAAAAGAAGAATTTATAAAAATTTTAAAAGAATTGAAGAATGAAAGCGAAGAAAATGTCTTCTTTCAGAAGAAAGAGAAGAAACCATTTTTAGATCTTTTACTTTATCGTCATTTAGTCCATGGAGACATTACTCAAGAGGATATCAGAGAAGAAGTGGATACCTTCATGTTTGAGGTATGTAATGTTTAAGATAAAGGCATTCTTAAATTCACTTTGTTATAATTAAAAATAGTATATAAGTTGCTGCTCATTTATAATTAAAACACTCAAAGTAAATTCCATTACTGAATTACAGGATTCTATACATTTTAATATTAATCCTGTTTCATTAGGGTCACGATACTACAGCTATAGGAATAAGTTGGGCATTGTATAATCTCGGTTTATATCCCGATATACAAGAAAAAGCCTATGAAGAGTTGTACAAGATTTTTGGAGATGACAAAGAAAGGCCAATTACTTGTGATGATTTAAGAGATATGAAATATGTGGAATGTGTTATTAAGGTAATTTAGTTTTAGTTTAAAAATCCTAAATTAAATATTTAAATTTACAAATATGGTTTCATCATCAGGAAACATTAAGACTTTATCCTCCTGTTCCTGTCATAGCCCGTTGTCATTCTGAAGAGGCTCTCTGTTTATCCTCCTGTTCCTGTCATAGCCCGTTGTCATTCTGAAGAATTTAAGATAGGTGAATTTTAGTAGACTCGACACTATAACGAGAAATAAATGTACTAAATGTATCGTTTTTTAAACATTTTACTATATTAATTATTAAATATTTCATATTTTAATTGGGTATATTTACAACTTTATCAGCTTTTCGAACTTGTAGGTGTAGTCTATAAACACAGATAACGTCTGACTGATACGAGTTAAGAATACAAAATGGCGTATATACTGTTGATTACGGTATTAATTACTGTTACAGCAGCAATAATTTTATATATTCGATATAAGGAAGAACAAACGAAAACGAAGAAACACGGTTTATATGTTTTTCCAACCTTACCACTGTGGTACATCTTCTTGAAATTCCTGTTTAGAAATCGGGAGATTAATCAACAAGTTGGTAAGTTTACATGTTGTTATTTGCAATTATTTACTAATTAATTCTATTGTAGTTTCATTTCATAAGATTATTGGGATGAATAAGTTATTTGATAAGGAGAGAATCTTCATTCTTATATTCTCCAGAATGTTTATTGTTAATATATATAAAACCGAATATATAAAAGTAAGAATGTATTTTCTACAGTTTTAAGGTATATTAATTACAATTTTTAAGATAATTTTCATTATTTTAAGGCAGTTTTAAACAATAACGACGTAATTAATAAATCACCAATGTATCGTATGATGCATCCTTGGATTGGAACTGGTCTTTTAACCAGGTATTTGTTTTAAAGACGTAATTTCCTTCTGTTACTTAACATTCAAATCTTATAAATTACTTTTTATTATTGTAGTAACAAAGAAAAATGGAAGCAAAGACGAAAACTTTTAACTCCAGCATTTCATTTTAATATATTAGAAACCTTTCAACCCATCTTTAACGAACATTCATTTGTTCTTGTACAAAAATTAAATAAATTAGAACCCAATTCTTGGATCGATATTGTGCCTCTGATGTCTCTTTGTACATTAGACATAATTGGAGGTAAATATTATAAAATTTTATGCTAAAAAAAATAACATTTCGTAACATTTACTATTTCTGCTGTTAGTTATTTTAAATTCTGTAAATTTAGGAAACACTTAGATTGTATCCATCAGTTCCAATAATTGGAAGAGAAACCAAAGAAGATTTTAAATTAAGTAAGCAATATAATATNACGTAATAATAGTCGACTCACGCAGGATACGTATGGAGTGTAGTCTATCGATAAGTCTCAAAATGGCCGCTGCTGCAAAGAATCACGGGAGCGTGTCCTGACCTTCTTATATAGACCTTGGACTCGATAAATGCATACTAGCGTCAGCTAGTATCAAAGATTGTAACTAAAGTTTGCATAAAATGTTTTTTTTTTCTGCTAGTATAAATGTTTTCTAGATATACTAAGCATAGACTTATAGGTATTATTTAGAATTTATCTTTAAGTGACAGGTGAAGACTGGTTCGCACCGGAAATTACATAATTTTTAACTGTAATTTTTATTAACTTTATTATTAATTTTTATTAACTTATTATTACTTTTTATTAACTTGTAATTTTTATTACAGTTAAAAAAAATAACAGTGAAATAACGTTAACAGCTCTTTATTACAACCTTTTAATACTACTGTACTTTTTAAAAATTTATATAATCAAATATAATATTATTGAAGTTATTTCGTTGACAATTATGTCAATTATTAAGAAAGAGTATTAATCGAGAAATTACTATAAACTCTTTATATTGATACACTTCTGAATGAATCTTTGTATTCTGAAGGACAATTTAAAGTTGAATCTGATTCACTTTATAAAAGTTTACTAATTTATTTAGAAATACATTTTCTTCCAGTAATATTAATTCATTGTTATATGACGTTTGTATTAAGTTGACGTTCATTGAAAACGGGACTATTATTTAATAATACAGTTAAAGAAAAATTAAAAAGGTAAGGTTTTTGGAGCAGGAGTCAGAAAATATTTATCTTCGTGGCACAAGTATATGAAATAATATGTAATAAGGATCTCTTGTAGCGTTTAAATTCTATAGTAATTATGCTTCTATGTAGAAAAATGGCCGATATTTCGATGCTTGTAAATGAAGATTTTGGGTCAACCAATGGCCAAGTGAATAAAACCACTAAACACTGATGGTTGGCGGTGGTTCTGCACCTGGCCAACGGGCTAGCCACGTGGAGTTTTACGGGTTTTCTTCACGTTGTAATACCTAAATAGGGACCAGTTTCTTACAGAAAGTCCTCTTGAAAAGCATGGACTTCGTCAGATCGATCACTTGTTGCGTTGTCGCGTAGAAACACAATGTGAAAAGTTACAAAATGAAAATTACCATAGTCACATAAAATTTTATTCTTAGACGACTTCGGCTAGAGTAAGTGCACTTCACATCGGTTAAAGTGTACCTAGGTAACCCCANATTCAACGCGAAGCGACACGCAACGGAGAAAAATTTCGAAATCGGATACGTTAAACTATTTTTTCGTACGTAAATCAGTTATCCGAAATATCAGTTATTTGGACAACCCCAGTCGTCAATTGATTCGGAAAATCGACGCTCTACTGTAATTAAATTTCTAAATTAAATTATTTACTGATAAATTCCTATTCATCAGGAATCACTAAGACTTTATCCTCCAGTTCCTTTCATTGCTCGTTCGCATCCTGAAGAATTTAAGATAGGTGAATTTTATAATTTATATTTTAAAGATGTGTGGTTATTTTAAAGATGTGTGGCTATTTATAAGCCATTTTGCTTAATACTCAGATACATATCATTAAAAATCAAAAATATTCAATTGTCTATACATATTATATGCATAAATAGCCACATCCTATCTTTTGATTATGATTAGACTGAATTCTATTGTTTAATTAAACGTCTTAGGTGATAAAATTATGCCAAAAAATGCAGTTGTACACATACTTATACATTCCATACATCGAGATCCTGAATTCTATCCAGATCCTGAATCATTTAAGCCTGAGAGATTTTATCCTGAGAATTGTAGTGAAAGAAATCCTTTCGCATATATTCCATTTTCGGCAGGATCACGAAATTGCATTGGTAAAATATTAATCCCTCTTTGAGATATATCGACGTCTTAAAATTAGTGAAATAGATGGAGTTTTCGAAGCAATATATTAATGTTTTTTTAAAATTTTCAGGACAGAGATTCGCCCTAATGGAAGAGAAAGTGGTGATAGCTAATGTATTACGTTACTTCCGGATATATGCCAAAGAGAAACCTGATAAAATGATCGAATGCGGTCAATTAGTACTTAGATCTGTGAATGGTATACATTTAAAATTCGAGAAAAGGTGAAAAAGTATGCTTTTTTTGTTACCATCAGCATCGTCTTTGTTCTACATTGACATATTGTTGATTCATGTGAGTCAATTTTTTCTTCATTCTCTTCTCTTGTTTCATTTAGTTTTCATCAATGTCCTACCAGCTTTCTTCTATTCTTTCAATGTTCTTTTTCATCTTTTCTCTTTGAATCTTATGTGAACGTACTCTAGGGATTTTACCAGTGAGTTCTAAATAAAATCCTTGGCTCTGGATTATTATTCTCGTTATATCTTCATTATTTTTGCCATTCCTAGTAAAAACACTAGCATGATACTTGAAATCGTGTACATATTTTAATCTCACTCTTTCAAGCATTACTGCACTATTAATTTTTTATTCACGGCTAATTACGATCTTATTTTTAATTCATATGTTTTAAATGTTATTGCCTACTTATTTAGTAGTTACAATATGGGAAAATTCACAGGTCTAACAGCAATTTCAAACGCTGCAATTCCTTCTTTGTATTCATCAGTTGCGTCTAGGAATCATCCTACATAGAATTGATCAATACAAGAGAAGGAATTACACCGTTATCCATAGTTATTATATACAGCAAATCGGTTAAGAATTTTTCTAATGCATATTATTATTAATTTCAAACTATCCAGGTTTACTTTCAACAACACGACAACACGTAGGCAATCTGCCCGGAGGATTGCCACGTGGAATTTTCCATAGGAAACTATCCCCTATTTTGTTGTTACAACGTGAAGAAAACCAGGAAAACTCCACGTGACAAGCCCGTTTGCGATGTGCCAATTCACGACTGTTCAATTGTTTTGTCCACTGGCAGACCTCAGATTTATTATATAAAGTGTTTATAATTTCTGTTTTCAACTTATAATGTTTCTTGACACTTCTGTACTGTTTTTCTATCAAATTCGTCGTTTATCTCTTCGTATAAGTTTCTATTCTTTTAATGCTGGCTTCTAAGAATCTTTCAATTTCATACAGTGTTAAAGTAATATTTCTATAATTTCTTCATTATTTTATAAATATTTATATTGTGTTTCATTTAGAATTACTTGTTTCTCATCGTTTTTAATGTATGTTTTTCAGAACATTCAAATGAATACATCCAATACCAGAAGATGGGTATATATTTTGTATCTGTATTTAAACACCAGACTTGATGTGTAGCAACTATTATACTTTCGAAATAATAAAAAAAATATTGTAAAAATACTTGAATTTTGTAATATTAAATTTCTGGATAAAGTATTAAAAATGAATAGAGTATTGTTTATTTGCTATTGTAAATAATATTATAAATATAACGATAATCATAGCTCGCTTCATAGCGTTAAATTTTTCAAAGTGATCCTTGAATAATATATATAGAGAGAAAAAATGAATTCCTTAAAATATTAAAAGAATTGAAGAATGAAAGCGAAGAAAATGTCTTCTTTCAGAAGAAAGAGAAGAAACCATTTTTAGATCTTTTACTTTATCGTCATTTAGTCCATGGAGACATTACTCAAGAGGATATCAGAGAAGAAGTGGATACCTTCATGTTTGAGGTATGTAATGTTTAAGATAAAGGCATTCTTAAATTCACTTTGTTATAATTAAAAATAGTATATAAGTTGCTGCTCATTTATAATTAAAACACTCAAAGTAAATTCCATTACTGAATTACAGGATTCTATACATTTTAATATTAATCCTGTTTCATTAGGGTCACGATACTACAGCTATAGGAATAAGNATTAGGGATTTTTCAATATTTATGTGCAAACAGCCGTATATACGATAGAGAAAGAATTTATTCGATTTGTGTGGCTGGAAACGTATTTGTACATCTATACAAACCGGAATTTATAAAAGTAAAGTATATAAAAAAATACGTTTATTAAGTTAAAAAAAAATACAGTTTATTTCAATTATATTTATTTCTTCCTCAAGACAATTATAAACAGTCATACGGTTCTAGATAAAGGTTGGATATATAATTTTTTTAAAGCGTGGCTTGGAAATGGATTAATTACAAGGTAAATTTAATCTCAACTTTCATTGATAAAACAGAATAAACACTATTAATATTTAAAAGAGTGAGTATTTGTAGTCTAAACGTAGAATAACTTCTGTGCGGTTAGATAATCATTCTATTCCACTATAATTGACAAGTACTACACTTACTACGTTTCCATTGTTTCCTCGTGTTTGCTAATGCCGATATCGTCAATATGTTTAATGACACGCGTTTTATTTCTCACAATTGCAATCACAAGATCAGAATCGGTGTTATTAAGATGCTAAGAGACTTAGTTTTACTCCACATGATCTTACGATGATAATATGATTCGTTGGATCGCTCATTTTTCTTTCTTGAGTTACATCTTGAATTTGTAAATGACCAATAAACTATACATATAAATATTGTAAAGTCTTTGTAAATCCGCACTTAAAATGTATATTTTAATATTGGCGGTAGACTATCACACAGCTTTGTGATCAAAAGCTGTGTGATAGTCTACCGCCAATATTAAAATATACATTTTAAGTGCGGATTTACAAAGACTTTACAATATATATATGTATAGTTTATTGGTCATTTACAAATTCAAGATGTAACTCAAGAAAGAAAAATGAGCGATCCAACGAATCATATTATCATCGTAAGATCATGTGGAGTAAAACTAAGTCTCTTAGCATCTTAATAACACCGATTCTGATCTTGTGATTGCAATTGTGAGAAATAAAACGCGTGTCATTAAACATATTGACGATATCGGCATTAGCAAACACGAGGAAACAATGGAAACGTAGTAAGTGTAGTACTTGTCAATTATAGTGGAATAGAATGATTATCTAACCGCACAGAAGTTATTCTACGTTTAGACTACAAATACTCACTCTTTTAAATATTAATAGTGTTTATTCTGTTTTATCAATGAAAGTTGAGATTAAATTTACCTTGTAATTAATCCATTTCCAAGCCACGCTTTAAAAAAATTATATATCCAACCTTTATCTAGAACCGTGTGACTGTTTACAATCATCTTAAAATATAAGAAATTTATATTTAATTAATATAAAACATATATTTTAACATAACATTATACGTACTTCCATATATTCTGGTTTGTACAAATGTAAAATAACATTTCCGCCTACATTAAAAGCAAACATTCTTTCCTTGTCGTAGAAAAGACTATTGGCTTGTACGTATTGGAAAATCCCTAATTAGAATTAAAAAGAGTCCCTTATTTTTAATTATTAATAATTATAAAATATATAAAAACTTACAAATATTAGGATTAAAATCTGAATTTTTTCTCATCAGCATTGATTTAAAAAATGAATAAATTATATTAGGTAATGGAGAGATAGGTAAATTACACTCTTTTAGACGATTTAACTGCTTGTAATGATTCCATTTTACACCAAATATCAACAGAACTACACAGAAAATAAGTGTAAAAAGTTGCCACAACATCCTTAAAGTCTAAGTGTACAAATCAATGTTATATATGATTTATTGGACCTTGTATTTTGATAATACTTTTCTTATCTTCTATAAACATTTATAGAAAATAAGTTGATTTATTATTGTAAATATTCTCTTATATAAAATTATAATATAATATTTATATTTATATATATATTATTCAAGGATCACTTTGAAAAATTTAACGCTATGAAGCGAGCTATGATTATCGTTATATTTATAATATTATTTACAATAGCAAATAAACAATACTCTATTCATTTTTAATACTTTATCCAGAAATTTAATATTACAAAATTCAAGTATTTTTACAATATTTTTTTTATTATTTCGAAAGTATAATAGTTGCTACACATCAAGTCTGGTGTTTAAATACAGATACAAAATATATACCCATCTTCTGGTATTGGATGTATTCATTTGAATGTTCTGAAAAACATACATTAAAAACGATGAGNTATATATATTGTAAAGTCTTTGTAAATCCGCACTTAAAATGTATATTTTAATATTGGCGGTAGACTATCACACAGCTTTGTGATCAAAAGCTGTGTGATAGTCTACCGCCAATATTAAAATATACATTTTAAGTGCGGATTTACAAAGACTTTACAATATATATATATAACAGCAGTCATAAGAAATTTAATTAAAATAAACTATACCATAAATGTTTATTTATTCATTGTTTATTGCTATATTAAATATTTAATACTTCTATTCATTGTTTTAATCTTTTAAAATGGGTGCTTTGTTCAATAGATCCAGAGAATTATGGAGGCCAAGACGAAAGTTATTAACACCAGCATTTCACTTTAAAATTCTAGAAAATTTTCATACAGTTATCAATAAACATTGTTTTATTTTAATCGATAAACTAGAGAAAAAAGTACAAGATCCATGGGTTAACATCACTCGCATGTTATCCTTATGCACTCTTGATATTATAGCAGGTATCTATGAATGATATAAATACTTAAAAATCTTATATATATATATATAATTTTATAATATACTTATTTAGAAACTGCAATGGGAGTAGAAATAAATGCTCAACAGGATAAAGAATCTGAATACGTCGTGGCTATCAATAGGTTAATTAATATTGAAATTTTCATACAAGTTGTAGATTTGAATCATCTATATTAAACGAGTTTTTTTTCTTTAATTCTAGAATTGAAAAACTGTTACTACGAAGACTTGCATATCCTTGGCTATGGTCTAACACCATTTTCAATTTAACCCCATCGGGAAGGGAAGTTAATCGCGTTGTTAACACTCTGCATAGTTTCACTAGAAAGGTGCTACTGCTGTTGTATTACTTCCCATAAGTAATCAAAGTATGAGATATTAATAATTGTTTACTACAAATGACTATACAATATACATTATGTAGTACAATTATAATGTTTTATTCTAAAACACGTTTCTTCCACTATTTACCTTCAATTTAATTCTAAGCACATATATGCTTTGTAAATTATAAATATTATAAACAAACATAAAGTAAACTACAGGTCAACACAAATACACAAACACACATACAAAATTTTTCCTTCATCCCTGATCGTTGGAAGCATCACTCACTAGGAAAATAGGGTCTGAACTAAAAATTAGCTGGAGAAACAGGAATTATGAAAATTCTGACTTTGTATAACTTAATTTACAGTATAAAAGCATGCAAGGTGTGTTATTGTAAGTAAAATGACAATGCCAAATGAAGTAAAATGACAGTAAAATGAAGATAAAAGTGTAACATATAACGAATGATGATTCCTTCTAATAACTTTATTATATGTGTATAATAATTATAAGATGAAGAGGTCATTCCAAGTTTTCTATGTTAATAGGTAATATCTAAAAGGAAACAAAAAATGCAAGAATATCTAAAAGATAAAAAAGTCTCTATCGATGAAGATTCTGAAAATGTATATACTCAGAGTAAGAACAGAAAACCATTCCTCACCCTTCTTCTCCATCATCATTTGAATAATGGAGACATCACTGAAGAAGATATCAGAGAAGAAGTGGATACCTTCATGTTAGCTGTATGTATATAAGCTGTATATATAACACTAGACGTATTTTTAAGTAGTACTTTAGAATCATTCTTGCTTCAGGGCCACGATACTACTTCAGTAGGCATTTCATGGACATTATACAATCTCGGACTTTATCCGGATATACAGCAGAAAGTATACGACGAAGTTGTTAGTGTATGTGGAAATGATAAGAGAACACCAATTACATCAGAAGATATCAAAGAGATGAAGTATTTAGAATGTGTTATAAAGGTATATTTATAACTCTAGCATTATAAATTACATATTTCTGCTGTTAGTTATTTTAAATTCTGTAAATTTAGGAAACACTTAGATTGTATCCATCAGTTCCAGTAATTGGAAGAGAAACCAAAGAAGATTTTAAATTAAGTAAGCAACTTGTTATACGGGATGATCATATTTAAAGTTTCCCTACTGACTATGAGTACTACACATATTATAGACTATGAAAAGGATGAGGAAAAGGATGTTACAAAAAGTTTTAGTTCAAAAATTTCTGCTAGAAAATACTTTACAAAAAAATATACGAAGCAAAACAGGAAAAGAAAACGCACAACGAAATTGCATTTATTCGTACCACAAAGGACATGCTTTTGCAGATGATGTTTACCGATATAAGAAATGTTGCTAAATGTGTCCTCGATCGTTCAAGTGTAAAATTTGAAGGCGATGAACACACAGCTGACCGCAACTGTCCTCCACCGATGCTATGCAATACGATGCTTTAAGTCTGTTAAAATTTGAACATTTATATGATAAACCATATTCTTTAAATGATCTGCAATAAGAAATTGCATAGATTTGGATTCCGCTCATTGTTTTCACTAATACGTACTACATACGTAATGTATAAAACAGATTAAAATGTCAGTTTAAGGTTGGTCTCTGTTATTTACTTTGTTTTCTTTTCGTGTATTTTTGTATTAATATCATCCTTCTTCCCATCCTTTGCATAGTCTGTAAGCCTGTACAAATTTTGGTGTCAATCCGCTTATTGCTTACAACTACATATTATTTTGAATAAGGAAATTTTAATTATGGCCATCCTGTATTATCTTATATTTTAACTAAAAAGTTACGAAAGGGCTATTTATTTTTAGATGAAACAATAACTATACCAGCAAAGTCCTTCGTTTTTCTTCACATCTATTTCTTACATCACGATCCCGAATATTATCCAAATCCTGAAGTATTCGATCCCGATCGGTTCCTGCCAGAAAACTGTAAAGGAAGACATCCTTTCGCCTTTATCCCCTTTTCGGCAGGGCCAAGAAATTGCATAGGTAAGTACAATGTGTATGCAATTAAAGATATTTATATGCAAAATTTACTGTATAATTTTGTAATTAGGTCAAAAATTTGCATTGATGGAAGAGAAGATTATTATAAGCAATATTTTACGTCATTTCATTGTCAAATCTGTTGATTATCCTGATAAGATTCCTTTGTGTCCTGAAATTGTTCTTCGACCCGCTAAAGACTTAAAACTGCAATTTAAAGCAAGATAAAATGAAATTTTAAAGAATAGGAATCTCTATTATTTGTATTTTTACAAAATTTTAATGTAACTTTTTACGTATTTTTAATAATAAATGTGTATTTTTACTTAATTAACTACACAAATAACGTGTTTCCAGTAAGAAAATTCGATGTAATATTTAGTAATAAGAATAAATTAAAAATTTCACTAAATAATTTCTAATTAATTTCTATTAAAAACATTAAAAATTAATTTAATAATTTTTGTTTACCGAAGACGTATACACTACTCTATCAGCTATAAAGAGCATAGTTCAAGTGTAAGTTTAAACATAGATAAATCTTTAACTGATATTACTTAAGAATGAAAAATGGCGTATATACTTTTAACTGTAGCACTAGTTATTGCTATAACAGCAATTATTTCCTATGTTCGATGGAAGAAACAAGTAACAAAAGCAAAGAAAGATGGTTTAAACTTATTTACACTTGCTCCAATGTGGTACATTTTCTGGAAATTCTTATTTAGAAATAGAGAAGTTAACGATCAAGTTGGTAAGTAAAAGAAAAAATTATTTAATGTAATTACTTTAACATTAATTCTATTCAAGTTTTATTTAGCAGAATATGTGGAATGAATAAGTTGTTTGAGAGGGAGCGAATCTTCGCTGTTACCTTCAACAGAACGTTTATTATTCATATTTATAAAACCGAACATATAAAAGTATAAAGATTTTTTCTTGTAAATAATTAAAATACAATAAGTATTTAACCTAATTTTCATGATTTTTTAAGCCAATTTTAAATAACAACGATGTACTTAATAAATCAAGAATGTACGATTTAATGCATCCTTGGATCGGAAAAGGTCTGCTTACAAGGTAAAAAAAAAAGCATTTAATATTTTAAAAATATATTCGATAATTTAACTGCGTTTTTATATGCTTGCAACACTTAAATTATCTCAGTTTTATCTGTTTACAAGGTTATTTATATCATTACTTAACTCTATAACTGTAATTTTTCGGATCTATAGATTAAATAAGAGAATAAAAAAGTTATCGTTGATTTTTATATAATTTTAATACATTTACTAAAGGCATTAATATATTTATAAAGTTAAGAAATAGTCATTATACCAATGAGGATATTCGTTTCTTGTTTATTTAAATATTAATAAAAAACGGACACTGATTTAGCAGGAAAGTATGATGTACAGGGGCATGACACTACTAATTTGAGGCGAAAAACATATATTTTAAAAGCCATTTATCATTATTATAATATGACAAGTTATTGTTTTTCTTTCTAAATTGGTATTATAAAAGTCGATCTTAAAGCATTTTTAAGTGTGTTTTATTTTATAATTAATCATAACTCTAAAGAGTAACAAAGAGGAAGAAAGGTTTGAACCTTTCTTCCTCTTTGTTACTCTTAATGAATATTTTGCAATAAATTTCCTTCTATTATTGGCTTTATTTTCTTGTGTTTCTTCTTACAATCTTACAAATTTACTTTTTATTATTGTAGTACCAAAGAAAAATGGAAACAAAGACGAAAACTTTTAACTCCAGCATTTCATTTTAATATATTAGAAACCTTTCAACCCATCTTTAACGAACATTCATTTGTTCTTGTACAAAAATTAAATAAATTAGAACCCAATTCTTGGATCGATATTGTTCCTCTGATGTCTCTCTGTACATTAGACATAATTGGAGGTAAATATTATAAAATTTTATGCTAAAAAAGATACCATTTCGTAACATTTACTATGGAAAATATCTCATTGTAGAGACAGCAATGGGAGTGAAGTTGAAATCACAGGAAAATGAAAGTTCTGAATACGTTCAAGCAGTGGGAAAGTGAGTTTTCTTATTAAAAAAACAATAAAAAGAAAATTAATTTAATATAAATTTAAACGTTATATGTATTATTAGAATGGAGAGTTTGATTACGGAAAGAACAATGTATCCTTGGTATCGATTCGATTTTATTTACTACTTAATATCAGCTGGAAAAGAATTCAAGAGATGTGTAAACATCATACATAATTTCACTAGACAGGTCAGTAAAATCTATTTTTCGTAATACATAGCAAATGATAAAAGACTTATAAAGTTGAGAAATTAAAAATTGTTTATAAGAAAATTATTAATTATTTATTAATTATTGATATATAACTCAACAAATCTAAGGTCATATCGGAGAGAAAAGAAGAATTTATAAAAATTTTAAAAGAATTGAAGAATGAAAGCGAAGAAAATGTCTTCTTTCAGAAGAAAGAGAAGAAACCATTTTTAGATCTTTTACTTTATCGTCATTTAGTCCATGGAGACATTACTCAAGAGGATATCAGAGAAGAAGTGGATACCTTCATGTTTGAGGTATGTAATGTTTAAGATAAAGGCATTCTTAAATTCACTTTGTTATAATTAAAAATAGTATATAAGTTGCTGCTCATTTATAATTAAAACACTCAAAGTAAATTCCATTACTGAATTACAGGATTCTATACATTTTAATATTAATCCTGTTTCATTAGGGTCACGATACTACAGCTATAGGAATAAGTTGGGCATTGTATAATCTCGGTTTATATCCCGATATACAAGAAAAAGCCTATGAAGAGTTGTACAAGATTTTTGGAGATGACAAAGAAAGGCCAATTACTTGTGATGATTTAAGAGATATGAAATATGTGGAATGTGTTATTAAGGTAATTTAGTTTTAGTTTAAAAATCCTAAATTAAATATTTAAATTTACAAATATGGTTTCATCATCAGGAAACATTAAGACTTTATCCTCCTGTTCCTGTCATAGCCCGTTGTCATTCTGAAGAATTTAAAATTGGTAAATTTTTATAATTTTATATTCTAAAATTATGATTATAAACTCAATTCCAATATTATAATATTTAGATGATATAACTATACCCAAAGATTCGATAGTGAATATATTTATACATTCCCTACATCGAGATCCTGAATTCTATCCAGACCCTGAAAAATTTAATCCTGAACGATTTTATGCTGAAAACAACAGAGAAAGAAATCCCTTTTCATATATTCCATTTTCTGCAGGAGCACGAAATTGTATTGGTAAGATAATATGTAATTTTGACGATTAATGCTCTTAACAAAGGTCTATAAACACAAGGTCTGGACACGCATAGCGGCAGTTGCCATTTTGGGTCTTTTGCGATCGTATTTACGGTGTTTCTAGAGCGAATGAGGGGGAAAAAAACAGAGCCAAATTCGCTCTATAAACACATTATACACTAACACAATAGAACCAATATGGCGACTGCCGCGATCTTGTGTTTATAGACATTGGCGCAACGTTTTACAACTGTGCCATCTATTGTCGAAAAAATAATACATTAATGTTTTTTTTTTTAAATTTCAGGGCAGAGATTCGCCCTGATGGAAGAGAAAGTGGTAGTAGCTAATATATTACGTCATTTCCGAATATATGCCAAAGAGAAACCTGATAAAATGATCGAATGTGGCCAATTAGTACTTAGATCTGTGAATGGCATACATTTAAAATTCCAGAAGCGATAAAAGAGTGATTTATTTTAACTCTATAAAAATATAGATATTTTTCCATAAAATTGTTTAATATTATTTACTCATCATTATTTTTAATCTCTGTTTTTCAGATTATAAAAGTAGCCAATACCATTTTGAATTTGAACTTTTTATAATTTCAACTTCAACTGAACACGACGTTTGCCTGAAATGCATAATGGAGGAAGAAATAAAAGTTAATAATGTAAAATAATATTAAAATAATCTTGTCCTTGGTGTAATAAGTCTGGAAATAAAATTACCTTTTAAATAAGTGTAGTGAACTTAATTTTTTTTTATGTTAGAAAAATAAAATTTAATATTGTGGGTTAAAATTCTTATAAATATTTTAACCTTTCATTCAATTTTTTAGTTCAAATAATATTTTACATATAGACAAATGTAGCAATCTTACCCTGAAAAATAAGGGCCAATTTGTCATTGAAAGTTGACTCGTTCCAGATAAACTATTCCCATCAATTCTAAATCATAAGAATTATTATAATAATTCATAGCGTATATCTTCATAGTGTCCTCGCATTGGAAATTTGCTAATGTTTAAATATCCATTGTATTAATGTTAATTCATTCAGATCGTGTTCATGCGTAATCTATTCGTTATCAATATGTACACTCGTTGCCATAAAAATTAGCGCATCAAAAAGGAGTTGTTGTATCGATGAGAAACTTGACATGCAGATAAGTTTCAAGCAGAAAGGGAAATGATTACAGTTATAGGAAAGTCCTAAATTATAGTAATCAGCCCAATCATTGGAAATGTAAGTGGGCTATATTACTTTATATATATACACAGATATCCCTCGTACAACACTGTTTAGAGAAATTTTTCATAACTTTAGAGTACAAATTCAGTTTATCTATATTTTTTTGGAACGTAACTACCGTATTATACAAAGGATACCTGTATTAATACATTTCTATTAGTACTTTATAAAAACAACATATATTTTTAGATCAAACATTAATTACATCACAAATTTTTATATTTTTCTTCAAATACATGCACTACATTCTGATCCTGAATATTATCCAAATCCTGAAATATTCGAGAATTGTTTATATCAAGCTCCACGTTTTTGCAAGGGGTGCAAGTGCTTCATTACGGCAAAGACCTCGTGTGAAACTTCTCCGAGATGCTACGGCAGATTTCACTTAAATAGAACAAAAATGCTCGCACAGAATGCCAGCTAAATCCAAAAAACATGTGTAAAATGCTCCAGAGTGACTAGTGGCATTTCGTCAGCCGCCACTAACAACACTCCGTGAGTTTCAAAATGCACTTGTCCATGAATGCACTGCTCCAGACATATATGATAACCAACAATATGATCGAAATGAACAATCGCTGTTTAGCCTGTGCGCCTACAGGAGGCATTCAGTTACGGTTAGTATCTCTTTACTCCATAATAACAAATCATAATAACAAATAGTAAATACAAAAAGTAATCGGTGACAGGTGTTCAGTTCAGTAACCTTTTTTTTTTACTTTTCTGGCTCTGTATGCGTAACAGAGGGTAAGTATGGCGATTGGTCAAAAATGACCCCTCAAGATTTTTACATTTTCAGACTGAGGATACATTGAAATGTCAAGAAATTCATTATATTACTGCTGTAAACCCTAAAATGACAATTGATATGTGTCCCCGGATTTGCTGAAAAAATCCCGTTACCCTATCTTTACCAATAAGACGAGAATAGTTCAAACCGTGGTCAATTTGGCGAAAATAATCTTACTTTTCTCGTTCATAATGTCTTCGACAGTGTAGTAAAGGAATGAATAATTTTCGAAGACATTGGAAAGAATACGTACTCTGAAAATTGCCAGCCATTGCGCTTTTTGTAGAATATAGGAGTAGCGATTTAAAGGCATTCTGCTAGCATGCAAAGGGCTACAATTGTTAAAAATTCCTGTTTGGGCTTAACAAAATAGAAAAGACATTACTTTATAATAAATGAAAGTTCTCGACATCTGTAAATTTCATTTATTAGAAAATCATAATTATTTGAAATTTTTAATTGGAATATTTCAAACCTATTAATATCTTTGCGCAACGCGTGACATATTTATCGTAATCGTAATACGGGTTATTAGAAATATATTGTAACAATACGTAACAATTTGTTAGAATATATTGTTGTTTTTTTCTATTGTAGGTCGACATTCTTAAGCGGAAATTTCTCTCTTTGAAATTTCCCGAGAGAATGGACTATTATATATTAATTTAAATGTAAACATCCATAATAAATAGGTACTATACAAGGTTATCCATTTAATACCATCTCGTTAAGCCAAAATATTTGATACTTTAAACTCGAACCTATCTTCCTCAGAGACGTGCAGAACCGTTTTGGCGCCCTAGATGAACATCATATCGGAGGCCCTGACTCAACTTTAAATATAAGAAACATTCTACGGGTTCATATTGTTACTCCGAGGTCGACTCTCAGGGCGAAGACAGAAGACACCGACGGGAGACGAAGGAGGCCCTCTGTGTCCTGCTCCTTGAATCCCCGTCATGGTGAAGAGAGACGACACCGAAAAGAGTCGAAGAAGACCCTCTGTGTCCCGCTTCTTCAAAACCCGCTCATGGTGAAGACAGGGGTTGAAAGACATCGACGGAAGACGAACAGGGTTGTCTATGTCCCGGTCTTTCAAAGCCCGCTTAGGGCGAAGAAAGAAAAGTCCGACGGAAGAGGAACAGGGCCCCGCTAATTCAAAGCCACGTAGGGCCACGTATTTTCGTGGTTTTTTAATGAGATTTGTTGGGAGTTTTAAGTAAATTACAGTTTAGTGATCCTAACGTGGATTTGTTTTATTATGACCTGGTATCTTTATAGGTTTCATTATTACTAGTTTTAATATAGCATTCATTAGTTTTGATAATAATACTGTAGGTTTCGGAAAGTTAAATTTGAAGTATTCAGAGATTATAAATATTTTTACAGTTTGAGTTAGGACGAATGAAACTCGACAAATGATGTTAGTCACGTGTGGAGTTTCATTTTTTCTAACTCTTGGTGAAGACATCCACCTCCACGTGGTGAGTTCTGGGTTGTCATTCGTCTGGAAATGACGAAGGCAATCGAAGTGCTGCTTGTTTCCGTTACATTTAATATTATAATAAGAAATTAAAATATGCCACTACAAACAGAAATTACAAAAGTAATTAGAATTAGGAGAGTTAAGTATTTATCTTTTGTATAAATTGCTTTATGTTTTGTCTACGTGGTAATTCCGCCGTACCAATCATGATCGCGATTTTCAATCTACCCTATTAAAAATGAAACCTCATAACAGCCGAGAAAGTTAAACCACTGGTTGCTAGATTTTTAAATGCATTTTGTGCAAAATAAAAAAATAAAACCGTTTACACGTGACATTTCTTTAACTTTTCCTTCGTCTATGTTGTGCATTGCGATATGATTGAAAAGAGTACTAGGAGGCGGGCTTTCCAGACTCTTCCCATACCGTTTCTAGCTTCACTTGTTGCTGCAGGAAGGATTGGACACGTCTACTTTTATAATTTCCTTGGCACTGATCTAATAGTGAATCCAGGCTAGGATTGGGATCACTGTCAAACCTTTCCTTTTCCTCTATTAAAACGGATAAGAAGAAACATTGCGTTTAATGGTTTCCAAATGTGTACAACACTATACTGTGTGGATCATAGAAAAGTTTTTCTAAGAATATTTCTAAGATTTTCTCTCACAAGGGAAAATGGATTATAGGGTGTTGGGTACAGTTGGGGGCGGTAAGAATAAACCAAGACAGCGGTTTGAAAGTGAAGGTTTAAAGTGAGGTTTAAGGTTTAAGGTTTAAGGTTTAAAAGTGTAAGGTAGTAAGGTTTAAGGTTTAAAAGTGAAGGTTTAAAAGGTTTAATGAAATGATTTAATGATTTAAACACTTGTTTGGAAAAAAATAATCAAAATTAAACATCTATACTTGAAATCCATGAATTTACCTAATGCTGCAAAGCACTCTTCGTTAAGCCAAGTGTATTTTTCTATGGAATTTGTAGTGAAATTAAAAAATGTAGTTCCTTTAAAACTGCAAAGTTCTTCTAAATTCTATAAATGATATAAAAATTTTACGTGATATTTTCAATTCTTTTTTTAATTTTGTTTCACTGATGGCGTATGTTTAATAAGCTACATATTTCACAACTTTTTCACTATTACTTTGCAATACAATCTAAAATAAACAAAATAAAATGTATACTAATTGTTTTAAGACGATACTTTTAGCAGAAAGTGTTTGGTACGGCTGCTTTTTATAATAACGTGAAGAAAACCCTGAAAAATCCACGTGGCCAGTCCATTGGGACCACAGCGTGTGATGGTTTTATCCATTTAGACACTGGTGGGCACTTACTAGAATTAAAAAAGTATTATTAGGAAATGAAAAAACCCGAGTTGTTAGATGTGGAAAGGTATGTGGAATCGAAAGTTTAATCTTCAAAGAGGGTGAACGAAATTGTCCCCCCCCGCACATATCCATTAATACAGAAAAACCTCCGAATTTTTTGCATTTCTTGACGTTTCAAGGTCGCCTAGTGTTTTTTTGTCTTATTCCTTCAGTCGAATACAGTCTTATCATTACGAAAAGCGATAATGTACAAACTACATTCTTATCCTTATCTATACATATTCAAAACTAAAGATTGATATCACTTAACTTATAAAGTTGTAATAATTCGCCTCAGAATAAAAATTATTCAAGCTCTATTCTAAGTTTTAATTTCTAATTAGAAAATCAAACTTATGGTAATAATTATCGATATTTTATTTAGATCTAACAAAATTAATATTAATAAAATTTTAAGGAAAAACAGCAGAGACTCTTAATTAACCCTTCAAATTCTCTTTTATCGTTCTTTAAATTGCAGTTTCAACTCTTTAGCAGGTCGAAGAACAATTTCTGGACATAGAGCAATCTTATCAGGATAATCAACAGATTTGACAATGAAATGACGTAAAATATTGCTTATAATAATCTTCTCTTCCATCAATGCAAATTTTTGACCTAATTACAAAATTGTACGGTAAATTTTGCATATAAATATCTTTAATTGCATACACATTGTACTTACCTATGCAATTTCTTGGCCCTGCCGAAAAGGGGATGAAGGCGAAAGGATGTCTTCCTTTACAGTTTTCTGGCAGGAACCGATCGGGATCGAATACTTCAGGATTTGGATAATATTCGGGATCGTGATGTAGCGAATAAATTTCAATAAAAATAAAGGAATTTGCTGGTATCGTCATTGTATCATCTAAAAGTACATAGTCCTTCCGTAAATTTTTAAAATTAAGTTTATCATATAAAGATAAAAAAATATATACATTATATTATTTACTTAATTTAAAATCTTCTTTGGTTTCTCTTCCAATTATTGGAACTGATGGATACAATCTAAGTGTTTCCTAAATTTACAGAATTTAAAATAACTAACAGCAGAAATATGTAATTTATAATGCTAGAGTTATAAATAAGTCTATACCTTTATAACACATTCTAAATACTTCATCTCTTTGATATCTTCTGATGTAATTGGTGTTCTCTTATCATTTCCACATACACTAACAACTTCGTCGTATACTTTCTGCTGTATATCGGGATAAAGTCCGAGATTGTATAATGTCCATGAAATGCCTACTGAAGTAGTATCGTGGCCCTGAAGCAAGAATGATTCTAAATTACTACTTAAAAATACGTTTAGTGTTATATATACAGCATATATACATACAGCGAACATGAAGGTATCCACTTCTTCTCTAATATCTTCTTCAGTGATGTCTCCATTATTCAAATGATGATGGAGAAGAAGAGTGAGGAATGGTTTTCTGTTTTTACTCTGTGTATATACATTTTCGGAATCTTCATCCTTCGTGTTTTGTATATTTTCGTAGTTATTTTGCATTTCTTGTTTCCTTTCAGATATTATCTGTTTACATGGAAAACTTGAGATGTATTGATAGTTTGTATTTCAGTAAAAATTACTGCCAATAGATACTTTGGCAGATTGCCAGGTGTTGCGTGCCTTATTTCATCTCTTGAACAATGCAACACGTGGGATAAGGCAAGGCTGCTCACATGCAATCTGCGAAAGGTGGAGTGTTATCCTTTTCTGAGAAGACTTTCAACAGGAGACTGGCCCCTATTTAGTTATTAAACCGATGAAAAAATCCGAATAACTCCATGTGACCATCTCTTTGGTCAAGCTCGAATCTGCGACCAACCAGTATTAAGTGGTTTTCCGCACTTGCCCATCAATAAATGAATAAGAATATAATATCTCATACTTAAACTGCTTACATGTAACGATATAAAGTTATAGCAAACCCGATATGCAGAATATCATACCTTTCTTGTAAAGCTGTGCAGAGTGTTAACAACACGATTAAATTCTCTTCCTGAAGATGTTAATTTGAAAAAACTGTCCGACCAGAACCAAGGATACATATTTCTGTATAGTATCAATTCCTCAATTCTAGAATTAAAAGCAAATATATTATTTAATATAGATAACACTGTTCTGCAAAAAAACTTTTTTTCTATTTCTGAAAAAATACATTGTGTTACTAGTTGTACTTCGAGCACTGAATTCAAACCTGTTTTTAGTTTTTTTCTGTCAGGGATAGTTTATGAGTAATCACAATTTTATTTTTTCTTTATGTTTCTGATATAGTGCAGGACACATTAGCTGAAATTCAAGAAAAAAATCAGTGTTTTTATGATGTTATTAAGTTCATCACATTAAGGGAGGTTGGGATCTAACATATAACATATACATCTTAGTGTATTTGCTTTGTAGCATTTATTTCACATGAGCAATTACAGAAAATTGACAAAAATGAGCCACCATATAGTAATGCACATCACTTTTTCTCTTGTATTGAGAATTTTTCTTCTCTCAAATGATATTCCAGCAATAATCTGCTAACATAGAATGTACCCACTTCTCTTCATAACGCCTTTCTATAGTAGAAATGTCTTTATGGAATCTTTTGCCATGTTCATCCGATACGTCACTACAACTCTCTGTGAAGTAGTTCAGATGAGTCTATCATATGTACCTTCAGAGACATATTGCATCCCAGATATTGGTGTGCTTTGATCATGTCATTCACCATTGCTTTGTAGTTGGTAGCTCTTCTTTCGAGGAAGTTTTCTGATACCATCTTGAAACACTCCCATGCTCTCTTTTCTTTGGCAGTTAAACATGCTTCAAAATTTGCATCTTTCTGCAACTCCTTGATTTGCGGGCCCATACATACACCTTCCTCTATTTTTGCAGCTGAAAGATGGGGAATTTGTCAGCTAGATATGCAAATCCACTGCCTGTTGGATCCATGGCCTTTACGAATTGTTTCATTAGGCCAAGTTTGATGTGAATCGGTGGAAGTAGTATATTTTCAGGAGCTACCAGACTTTCATGTTGCACATTCTTTTCGTTCACTTTCCACCTCCACTTAGGCCATTTTTTTACATTTGGTTAGAATTTCTGTCATGACTATCCCACTCGCAAAGAAAACATGCATACTTCGTGTAGCCTTGTTGCATTCCCAATGTCATAGCAATTACTTTGAAGTCTCCACATATTTTCCATTTGTATTCATTGTATTGTAATGAATTTAGCATCCTTCATAAGAATTTGTAATTCTCTTTAGTCAAGCTGGCATAAGCAACTGGAACAGAGGGCATTTTATTTCCATTGTGGAGAAAAACACCCTTGAGACTTATTTTCAATGCATCTATGAAAAGTCTCCGCTCCTGTGAACTGTAGGTGAAGTTCAGCACCTTCATTAGGCCAGCAACGTCATTGTCACGTTCGATTATTACTGCATGCAGCAACATACACATATTTCTCTATAACGTCTGTGTTTGCCATGAACTGTGAATATATACACATATATACACGTTACACAAAAAGTATCCCTGACAACAAAATTCTGTTTCCAGATTTGAATTTCCCATGATAAATTGGTTTAGAATCACACATTTTAATATCAGAAATAGAACCCTTGTCAAACAGTGTATAATTCAACATGAATATCACAAATATTTACCTATTAACTGCCTTGACATATTCAGATTCTTCATCCTGTTGAGCATTTATTTCTACTCCCATTGCAGTTTCTTAATAAATATATTATAAAAATATACTAATACCTTATAAGATTATGTAGCAATTGGATTAATAATAGATACCTGCTATAATATCAAGAGTGCATAAGGATAACATGCGAGTGATGTTAACCCATGGATCTTGTACTTTTTTCTCTAGTTTATCGATTAAAATAAAACAATGCTTATTGATAACTGTATGAAAATTTTCTAGAATTTTAAAGTGAAATGCTGGTGTTAATAACTTTCGCCTTGGCTTCCATAACTCTCTGGATCTGTATAGGAAATTATAAAAGCCACACTCTTAATACGTTCATAGTATTACTTATTTATAATAAATGGATTTACCTGGTAATTAACCCATTTCCTAGCCATGATTTTAATGCATTATACATCCAACCTTTATCTAGAACTGTGTGGCTGTTTATAATTACCTTGAGAGAAAAAAAATACACTTAATTAATATAAAACGTACTTTTTAATTTAATATAAATATTTTTGAAAAATTTACTTCGATGTATTCCGGTTTGTACAGATGTACAATAAAGTTTCCAGCTACATAAACAACGTACAGTCTTTCTCTTTCGTATAGACGACTTTTGCCATACATATACTGGAAAATCCCTGATTAAAATTAAAATTGAAGTTAATAAATCTAACAAAACTTATTAAAATGAGGAAATATAACAAACTTACAAACTTGAGGAATGTAATCTGAATTAGTTCTATTCAGCATTACTTTACAAAATACATAAAAAAGATTAGGTATTGGTGAAACAGTTAAATTACACTCTTTGAGACGGTTTAACTGTTTGTACTGATTCCATTTTGTTATCGATATTAAAAGAACTACACAAATAACAACTATACATAATTGCCATAACATCCTTTCAGTTTGAATGTACAAATTAATAATAAATTTGATTTTTAAACTTTGTTCTTAGATAAGGCATTTCTTATCTACTCTATTATCATACGATTTATTTAAATGTAGTGTTAATATGCTCCTTTTAAACGATAAACAATTAACACATGAATTTATTTGCTTAAAAAACATAAAATAATTTACCGTTTAAATGATTTTATTGAAACAAAATACACGATTTTATATCGTTTTACAGTATCAGCAACAAAATAATTAGCAGCAGCAATCAATTATTTTAATATCTGAACAGATACTTAACTTTATTGTTTAATAAAAAAGATAATCAATTACACACCACCAGCAACGAGTTACGCAACTTTCCCTGCTTTTATGAGATTTTATTTAAAAATAACTTTTATATTATTAATCATAATAAATAAAATTTCGTGTTGTGCCATCTGTTATGAGATTTTGTTATAAAAATATTTTATATTATTAATTATTATACAATGGGTAAAAAGATTAATTTTCAGGGTAGGAATGTGTTTGAGAAAAAATTGCAAATGGTAATAACCAGTAAAATCGTCATTAATTCAGACCATACTCGAGATGCAGTTAATTGCACAAACCATTCGAAAATAGTTATTAGGTTTATTATTATTTAAAGGTGCTTGTGTATTTAATGATTTTACTTTTTAAATAAATTACAGACATGTATTTTTTATTAACTTTAAGAACTATCATAAATTATATCTTCGCATATATTTTATTGAACTTTTAACTTAAATAATTTCTATTATTAGCATTTTTATATCGTTGATAAATTTTGCAAATCATTTTAATACAGCTTTGTACATTTAAACGGATGTTCATTGCACTTTCAATATGCCACGCACTGCGTTTTGGTCTAAAAATAGCGCGTAAGTCAGCCTGAATTCTAGGAACCCAAGGCCAAACACTGATTACGATCATGTTGTCACCATGACGACTATGACGTGTATACAATGTCGTCGTTATAACCAACTGTTCTGGTCGATAGAGAATGTTTGATTGTTTGTTAGATATGTACTCCTAGGCCGTTCGACCAATTGCTACGAAACTCGTCAGTTACGTTAACATACTTATAAATTAGTTAATGTCGTATATACCACTTTAAAATATTAATTAAATTTATATATATATATATATATAACATTGCCGCAGTAAATAAAATAATATGATATTTGTTATATATATAACAAATACTGTATCATATTATTTTATTTACTGCGACAATGATATAGCGCAAAGTAGTATTTTGTAGTACAAAGTATATGATTACTTTGATGAGTAGAACATAGCACTTACCTGTGTGGAATTGAAAGTTTTAATAACTCCTATGTTTAGTTGCTGAAAATTTCTGAAATTTTGCAGAAAGATTTGCGGATTAGGAGATTGATGCTGTTAAATTTTTCTGGTTAAAAGTCGAGGGGTAGGGAGATAAAGGGAAACGTGTGTATCACCAATATGGTCAAACTTAATGATGATTTTACTGGTTATTAGCATTTACAATTTTTTATAAAACCCTAATTTACTCTCAAAATTAAGCTTTTTTCCATTTTATAGTAGTTAAAAATATATATAATGTTTTTAAATAAAATATTATAACAGATGGCGCCACCAAATGTTGCCTGGAAAGTTAAGTAACTCATTGGTGAATTTTTTAAACACTGAATTTCATATCAGAATCATTATATTTTATTGTTTTACATATAGAAGAGAGAATGCTGTATACTTACGTACGTATATGTAAAATTCGTACCTTTATCACCAAGTACAGTGGGTGATCGGTTAACGAACATAATCCGTTCCCAGGCTTTGTTCGCTATCCGAATTGTTCGTTAACCGATTATCGATTTACCATAGGTTTTAATGGAAATTTAATTAATTCGTTCTGGAGACTCCCCGAAATAAAAAATATATACTTTCTTACTATGTTTATTTATATTATACATAATAATAAAAAATACATACGTACACAGTCTTGCGTTTTTATTAGTAATGTTTTTTCAGTTTGAAAGGGTTAAAGAATCTGTTTAATGTCGATTGCTTTTCTCTCTTCTTCAGGATTTTTCGTAAGTAATTAATAGCATTGCAATTGTAGAAATCCTCAAGCCTCAACCTGGTTTGGATGCCATTCTAAGACCGTTGTTCTGACATCCTCACACTTCTTCAAAGGATCTTTAATAACAGATATCGGCATTAATCCTCTTTTTCAGAAGAAAACATATCTCGCTGAGTTTCTTGGTGTTCTTCATTAAAGAGTTCATGGCATTCTTCTGTCGTCAGATCCGTTTCAGGTTCCATTATAAACTCTTCGATGTTCTATATTTCTCAGATGTGATTTTTGTTACTCGTTTAGCTGCTTGAGTCTTCTTGATCATACAGTATTTTTCTTTAAAAAATGAACTGTGGCCTACTGTAGACTTATAACGCCATACTGCCAAGCAACATTAGGCATCTTCTGCCAACTCTTTACCTTTGCTATTATATTCTCACCTTACAAAAAAAAAAAAACAGACGCAAAACTTAACGAGTGCCTACCCGACAGTCTCACTAATACATAAAAGAATTATTTTCTCATAAAAATAAAATGCTGGAATTATAAGGGAGAGTTTTAAAGTTCGGAGGAATACTATCCGATCGGTATATACTGGCTTGAGCGTAGATTTCGAAGTTTCCCACACTCCGAAAAGTTTCGAATTGTTGCCCGAAGACAAGGAAAGTCCAATCGGTATTCGTTATTTTACGTCGCTTCTTCTTGTGTTTGTTCTGTGGAGTGTTCGTTATCCGATCATGTGTTCGTTGTCCGAACATAAAAATCTTTCGCAAAAGTGTTCGTTATCCGATTTGTTCGTTGTCCGATCTGTTCGTTAACCGATCACTCACTGTACAGATTGATAGCGATCGATCGAATGATCGATTTTTAACTTTAATATTACTTTCGGACTTATATTGTTACATCATATTGTGGTTAAACCAAGGGAAAGTATAGGAGTGTTTCTTTGTAAACATGCAGAATATAGATGATCTATTGATGTAAAGATAATTTGAAAGCTGTCACAATTATTATACGTTATATGAAATTAAAGTTTAGTCCAGACTATACAACGATGGTCCGTATCAATTTTTAGATACAAACGATCTGTTCTCGCTCAATTTGAAGTTGAAAGTATAAATCGCACGGCATCAGGAAGCACGGCATTGACTCCCCGTTAAGTAAAAAAGTCACTGACTGACTGACTGACTACATATACAAGAATTAAAGTTGCAGATTTTCGGGGGTCGATTTCTCCGTTCCCCAAACACCTGAAGTAATTCCGAATATCTCGTTCGAAAGAAAATTGTATTCTTAGATAGTGTGCAAAATTTCAAGATTTTCTGTAATACGGTTGCCGAAATATAAGCAATTGAAAAGTGTAAAAATCGCCAAAAAAAAAAAAAAAATGCATTTTTTTCTCTTTCTTCGTCCGGCACATCAGACGCTTGTAGAGAAAAACTACTTCGTCTACAAAGCTCAAATTTTAAACTTAAGCCTTTCTCGTTAAGCTTACAGAGTAATTCTTCCACAACAATGAGATAAGGTAGGGTGCTTCATTTGGTAGTTTCGTCACGCCAGGCGCACTACCAAAACTTTGCATACTAAAGAACACACTTAGCGCCCAACTCTCTAAATATGTCTTTTACTATTTGCTCCATATCAGTGTCATTTTAACTTTTGTCATGTGACTAAAATATTCAATAAAACTCCCATAAAAGAAGCCATTGTATCTGCCAACCACAAGACAGGCGATTCAGAACAAAGCAATGTCCATCGATTGCTTTGTTTTGAATCGCCTGTCTTATGGTTGTCCATCGATTGCTTTGCTCGATGCAATGTCCATCGATTGCTTTGTTCGTTTTTGCTGCTATTTTCCATTACGTGTTTGCAATGCCGTTTATATTTTTCACCCTAAATTTCGTTACGAGAGCACGGACATTATCATTTCGATTCTATTGTATACTGAAAACAAAGCCATTTACTTCTTCTTCTTTACATTTAAATGGATCCATATTACATTTTTGGTTCTTCGAAATTAATGGAAAAGATAATAAAATTTAAGAAACAATTTTTTAACGTTTTATTAACTTCAAATTTTAATTGTTTTTATACACTAATAACAAGTGTTTAATTAAAAAAAAAAATACAAAACACGTTTGTTTTCTGGTATTGGCTGTGTTTATACTATCAAAAACTAACTCAATACTTACATAAACTAAGTAACTTTTTATCTCTTTTCGAATTTTAAATGTATACCGTTTACAGATCTGAGTACCAATTGGCCACATTCGATCATTTTATCAGGTTTATCTTTGGCATATATCCGGAAATGACGTAATACGTTAGCTATTACCACTTTCTCTTCCATTAGGGCGAATTTTTGTCCTGAAAATTTTATACATAAATATATTATTTGACGATAGATGGCGCTACATTTCATAGACGCGTCATTAAAGTTAAATAAGGGCATAATCGCTCCATCTATCTTCAAAATTGCATACTATCTTACCAATACAATTTCTAGGTCCTGCCGAAAAAGGAATATATACGAATGGATTTCTTTCTACGCAGTTCTCAGGATAAAATCGCTCTGGATTAAACATTTCTGGATCTGTGTAGAATTCAGGATCTCGATGTATGGTATGTATGATTATAGGTATTAATGCATTTTTCGGTATAGTTATGCTACCTAAATTTTAAAATAATGAACATAAATATATCTAATTATGGTTTAAAAGCATAGTTATAAAATAATTACCAATTTTAAATTCTTCAGTATGGCAACGAGAAATGAAAGGAACTGGAGGATAAAGTCTTAATGTTTCCTAATAATGAAAACCATATTTGTAAATTGAAATTTTCAATTTAAGATTTTTATATTGTATTTAATTTACCTTAATAACACATTCCATATATTTCATATCTCTTAAATCATCGCAAGTAATTGGCCTTTCTTTGTCATTTCCAAAAATCTTGTACACCTCTTCATAGGCTTTTTCTTGTATATCGGGATATAAACCGAGATTATATAATGCCCAACTTATTCCTATCGCCGTTGTGTCGTGACCCTAAAGAATGAAAAAAGGAGTAAAGTTAATTAATTAATTATTTTTAAACATTTTCATTCACTGGAATAGATTCTGGAATGGATCTGGAATAGATTCACTTTGTGGATCTATCTTCAGATCCACAAAGATGTTAGATTGATTGCCTTTAAACCCATCCTGCTATCAAGTTTAGTTAATTATAATTTGATCTTTCCAAAATTAGATAAAATCTAAATTAGAATCTTCATACAATATTACATTGAAAAAGTTTCAAAGAGAAGAAGAACTCGGATGCGTATAGGTGACAAGTAAGCAAGTCAATGACATTATCAGTTTCATAATTAACAGGATTTTCTGCTTTGACTTACTTACCTTGCATCATATTCATGTGAACCCACGAGAACCCCAGTCCTCCAGTCAGAGAGAATCTTTCAATCAATTCTTTGGCATGAATAATTTTACAAAGTTGCGAGAATATTTTCGAATTATTCATATTGAGAGATAATAAGACATTTTAAACTGTCCGCAAGTTCTAATACTCTTTTAAGATAATGCATGTTAATGGTTTTAGAAACTCTACTTGTTTGCCTTCGCTTTAAAAAAAAAAATGTCTTTATTTTTATTAACATTAATACTTCATTATCAAATATTGAAAGAATACTTTTCATTAAATTCATACTAGTAGTTTTCTTTTCGTATCGGATAACAAACACGAAATATTTCAGGATGCGATATATCATTAATATCATTAATGCTTGAGGGCCCACCAGTGGCCGAATGGATAAAACTACTGAAGTTGATCGCGGTTTGGAGCCTCACCAACGAGCCGTGTTGTTTTCCAAGTTTTTTCACTTGTATAACACACAAATAAAAGCCAGTTTCACATAAAAGTCGTCCTGAAAAACCTCTCTCTCTCTCTACAGATTGCTCATATCTTGAGTTTATTACCCTGCTTAACTTACAATCCTACGTTTATGTATATTTATATATTTAATTGTTAAAATAAAATTTATTGATACATATGTATACATTCACATTAACAAATTGTATACCTCAAACATGAAGGTGTCCACTTCTTCTCTGATATCCTCTTCAGTAATGTCTCCATGGATTAAATGACGATGAAGTAAAAGATCTAAAAATGGCTTTTTCTCCTTCTTCTGAAAGAAGACATCATCTTTGTTCTCGACTTTTAATTCTTGTAAAATTTTAAGGAATTCTCTTTTTCTCTCTAATATTACCTTGAAATTTTAGATAAGTTTAGAATTAACGAATTTACTTTTCTTACGAAGAATTATTTTATTAATTTCTCACCCTTATAAATCATAAAAGAAACCAGTTTAATTTCTAGCCAGTAGTTACAAAAATAGATTTAACTAACCTGGCTACTAAAATTATGTATAATGTTTACATATCTCTTGAATTTTTTTCCAGCTGATGTTAAATAGTAAATAAAATCGAATTGATACCATGGATACATTGTTCTTTCCGTAACCAAACTCTCCATTCTAATAATATATATAACGTTTTAATTTATATTAAATTAATTTTCTTTTTATTGTTTTTTTTAATAAGAAAACTCACTTTCCCACTGCTTGAACGTATTCAGAACTTTCATTTTCTTGTGATTTCAACTTCACTCCCATTGCTGTCTCTACAATGAGATATTTTCCATAGTAAATGTTACGAAATGTTATCTTTTTAGCATAAAATTTTATAATATTTACCTCCAATTATATCTAATGTACAGAGAGACATCAGAGGCACAATATCGATCCAAGAATTGGGTTCTAATTTATTTAATTTTTGTACAAGAACAAATGAATGTTCGTTAAAGATGGGTTGAAAGGTTTCTAATATGTTAAAATGAAATGCTGGAGTTAAAAGTTTTCGTCTTTGTTTCCATTTTTCCTTGGTGCTACAATAATAAAAAGTAATTTGTAATAGTCCCATGTTAAGTAATGGGAAAGGAGAAAACAGTAAAATAACACTAAGTAAAGAGACTAACAGAAGGAAAGGTAAAAAATTTTGGAATAAGACAACGTAACACATGGATGATCTGCGAAAGAGTTAGGGTGCATCCCTGGAGGACTGGGATGTATTTAGATGCTAGATACGTGAAGAAACCTCGGAAAAATTCTTCCTGGCCTGTTTGTCTGTTAGGTGTGGACTAATGTTTGGTGGTTTTATTTAGCCCACTTGACAGGTGCAGAGAACTCATTCATCAAAAGAAAATTGAAGAATATTTCAAACAATTTAATATTTTCCATTATTTTTCACTTGGACGAATTGGTTAAGAATAAATTAAGAGAAACTTAGTTGTGTCCGTATTATCCACAAGTTTCCAGTGAAAGTTCAGGTATTTTCCCGTACTGTAGTTCCACCGTCGTGCTGTCATTAAGATACTGCAAGAACAACAGAACTGCAAAACAATAGAATTGAGAATATAATTGATTTAAAAATTGATTACCAAGAAATGCTTAATGATAAGTGTCTTGACTCATAACTATTTTTCAAGTGGTAAAATAGGTAAAATTTTAATTAATAAATTGTCACAAAAACTTTTTGTCCTTAAGACAAATATAGATTCATCACAAACCCTATCTGCAAGTACTGTAATCATTCTGTATAGACTTGTGTGTCTAATCATGACAAAGTTTTTTTTATCAAGCTGTATGTACAGTACTGTACTGTACATTTATGGCTAGTTACGTATTCTCTTAAATTTTCATAATTATTTAACTGGAATGGTTTAATACACGGGCAATCTCGATGCATCATGTTTTCGTGCACACCACATTCAGCTTCAAGCCATTTATAAAGTACAGTACTCTCTGGCTATTATGGTAACCAACCACTACATTATCTTCCGGAACTGGTTTTATAAGACATGTCGCCAATGAATAACTAAAAATTGTAGACTTACACTAACGACTAGCAGCTTCTTAATGGCTACCAAGACATATGCCCACGTTCTGGAAACTTGTGGATTATCATCTACAAAGAAAAATGGTACCACTATCATCAATATTCTTATACTTCACATATCTAATCAAGTAGAATGATCATTAGAAATGAATTAGACACGAATCTGTCTAATTCATTTCTAATAATACGTAAGAAAATGAATGTACCAGTACGTAAGAAAAGAAAGAAATGAAGCACTAACCTTCACAATTAACAATAATAACTTTAATTCATTGTAATAGTTGTGACCAAATAAATAAAATCACTGAACACTGGTACTTAGTTGCTCACGATGGAAAGTCTTCTTGGAAGATATCCCGTTGGTGAGGCGCGAAGCAACCGTGAAGAAAACCCGGGAGCCACATGGAATCTTCTGGGTTTTCTTCACATGTGTAACATCTAAGTAGGGATTAGTTTCTCAAAAAAATTTCTTTCGGGAAGCATTCCCTTGACAGATCGCTGACGTGTTGCATTGCCTTATTCATCCATCCATATATTAGTTTATATAATAGTTTGATACACAGAATTCTTGTTTTATGTACGCTGAATTCACATTTTCGTATATTTTCAGCCGACAAATAAAAATTTCTAATTAATTCAGTGACAATTCCTGCCAACTATTTATTCTTTCATAAAATCTCTTTTACTTAATACAGAATGTTCGAAATTAAAGTTTACATTTCAAAAAGATACGACTCTGGAACTCGCCAGAATAACGTCATATTCCACAAAGGAGACTTCTATGATGCCTTTTTATTTCAAATAAAAAAGTTAGTTACAAAAATGTCTGCTAGAGCGATAAATAGCGCTCAAGACCGAAAGGCTAACTCAAAATATCTCAAGAAACTTGCGATATCAACGGTACACACAACAGCAAGTTCGATATGCTGTCCTCCATTGTTATCCACACTAAAATTCTGAATGTTTATGCAAATTTCCTATTACAGCATCGAAAGAAGCTGTTGTAAAAGCAGGAAACTAAAATTTTGAATATCCACTAGGATGTCACCGCACCATTTACCACCCCAGTGGTGCATTTTGTAACTAAATTTTCTTTTGTTTCAAATAAAATTCCATCGCAAAACTCTCCTTGTGAAATACGAAAACTGGAATCTTATAATGATATAAATAATCTTGCAAATAGATAAAATTTTATCACTGAGATAATTTAAAAATAGTATTTTTCAGGCAAATAGAATAAAACTAAATTAAGAAATAATTTTAAAAAATTAAACATTTTACCTAGTTAGAAGGCCAGTACCAATCCAAGGATGCATCATACGATACATTGGTGATTTATTAAGCACGTCGTTGTTACTTAAAATTGCCTAGATATTATAAATAATAAGGCCTATATTTTTAATCATATATTTACAAATCTATATTAGGAATACATACTTACTTTTATATATTCGGTTTTATAAATTTGAACGATAAACAACTTCGAAAAGATAGCAGTAAAGATCCTCTCCTTCTCAAACAACTTACTCAGACCACATATCGTATTAAACATAGCTTCAATACATTTAATATTAGAATAAATACTAAAAACTAACTAATATTAATATTAAATAATTAATTAAACTTACCAACTTGATCGTAAACTCCTCGATTTCTAAACAAGAATCTCCAGAAGTTATACCAAATTGAAGGGAATAAAAATGCATGTAGACCATCTTTCTTCAATATTTTCAGTCGTTTCTTCCATCGAATATGTGAAATTATTGCTGCTAAAGCAATAATTAGTATCACAGTCAGGAATACATACGCCATTTTTGTATTCTTCACTGATATCAGAGTGTTATCTGTGTTGAAATTTAAACTATATCTATAAACGTAGAAGGGCGATAATATTTTAAATTTATCATTTCTTTTTTTATTCTGGCACTATCACACAGACGAGTACAAAAGTTTTAAATCTCTAATGGAATGGAATTTTTTTAAAAAATAAAGAAGTATCGCAAATCCATTCGACCGATTATTGGAAGTTAGATAGCTATTATTGAAAGATTGATCGCGGGCCACATAAATTCATTAGATGGGCCGGATCTGGCCCATGGGCCATATGTTGGCCACCCCTGATCTAGGGCATGAGCCAGTCACAGTACACTCTGACACCCAGTCTCCATTTCAGGCCTTGAGCAATGGGTACCACCAAGACCAATTGGTACTGATGATCAGAGGTGCAAGTGGGCAAGGCAAGCATGACAAGTTGACCTGAAGTGGGTCCCAAGCCACATCAGGATCCTGGGCAATGCTCGTGCCAATCACTTGGCTAAGATGGCATCCAAAGGCCCATTTGTAATGGAGAAGGTAGAACCTCTGGCAAGTTATATAAAAGGTACTCTACTGCAACAATCATTGGAACTTCAGACAGTAGGTAGGNATTGATTTAAATGTGTGTTAAGCAAAGAACATTCACTAAAACAAAGATGAAATTAATGTATCTTCTTCGATTTCTACAAAGGTAATAAATATATTAAATTTCTTACTAGATGAAAATTATAAAACGATTGTCTTATTGGATCTTATAGGGTGGAGGTACTTTGAATGACGTAGTAAGATATAACAAATCGTAAAGTTTAAATTCTTCCATAATTATGGCGGCAAGTATTGCCTCTTCTGTAATAACAAGTGCAAGGATCTCTTCTTTCTTTCCGGCTTCGCTTCAATTCTCTCAAGATACACGATGTCCTAGTAAATGCAAAACTCCTTTATATTTGCGAATTACTAACAAAATGGCGTTGTTATCACGTGACTTGCAAACTCCCCATGTGATTCATCATTTTGATGGCTGTTGAATCAAATAAATAAAGTTAAATCCGCAGTGATTTTATTAATTTTAAATATGGAACGAGTCATCTAAGTAATTAAATTTAGCAACTAATCATATGCTGTATCTGGGATTATTGTAAACATTTGTGCAATCGATGATATTACGTTACAATGATTGCAAAATGTAAATAGGAAATTACTTTTTATAATAATAACTAAATCTTATTATACTTATTTTGATTTTAAGAAAATGTTATGTCATCTATTACATAAATTTAAAATTTCGTAACAGTTTTAGATTATTTTATAAAATAGAACAACAATATTGCCAGTCATTTAAGTTTGTGGTGTAAGTGTAAACAAGGATGTCTTCTAACTGATATCACTATCAGTGAAGAATACAAAAATGGCGTATATGCTGATGATTGTGATACTAGTTATTGCTTTAGCAGCAATAATTTCACATATTCGATAGAAGAAACGACTGAAAGTATTGAAGAAAGAGGATCTAAATGCGTTTTCATTTCCTCCAATTTGGTATAACTTCTGAAGATTCTTATTTAGAAATCGAGAAGTTTACGATCGAGTTGGTAACTTTAAATATTGGTTAGTTTCTAGTATTTGTTCTAACGTTAATTCTATTGAAGCTATGTTTAATATGGTACGTGATCTGAATAAGTTGTTTGAGAAGGAGAGGATCTTCACTGCTATCTTTTCAAGGTTGTTCATATTTATAAAATCAAATATATAAAAGTAAATATGTATTCCTGATATAGATTTGTATATATGTAATTAAAATTACTTATATTATTCTTGATAATTAAGCTATTTTAAGCAGCAACATTGTGCTTAATCCACCAATGTATCGTATGATGTATCCTTGGATTGGAACTGGTACTAACAGTGATAACTAGGTAAAATGTTTAACTTTTTAATGATTTCTTAATTTAATTTTATTCTATTTGAATGAAAGAGCTATTAAATTATCTCAGTGATAAAATTTTATTTGTTTGCAAGGTTATTGATATCATTGCATAAATTCGTTATTGAATATAGGAATTTTTTAATTAAAGTTCAGATTTCAAAGAGATATAATTCAATCACTGTTCAGCAAATTTCACACCTTTTTTTCAAATCCGCCGCGTGAGCACTAAGAGGGCCTCTTTTAGTAAGCCCATTATGGTGAGGGACGAACGTATCCGGTTCGAATAGCTGGATAATTCAAAACAACTTATGTGAATAACTCAAAAACTTTCAATTTTATCTGTTTGCATGGTTATATTCATCACTTCTTTCGTATGCAGACTGGAGAAGAAAACCTTGAAGATATCATCCGTTTTCTTCTTTGTGGATGATGCTGCTGATAATGCAACAAACAAGGCCTTCAAATATTTCTGTTTGTATTGTTTCATATATATCCTTTTCCCCTCTACAACGAAAGATTTCAAATATTAAATTGTTTAATATATTCTTGAACTTTTTCTTAGTCTTGATGAATGCCTTCTTCCTATCTTCTCTTTATTTCTCTCCTCTTCTTTTACTTAGCGTGGAATTTTTACAAATTGCTTTTTTTTATAATTGTATTAGTGCGAAGGAAAAATAGAAACACAGACGAAAACTTTTAACTCCAGCATTTCAACATATTAGAAACCTTTCAACCCATCTTTAACGAACATTCATTTGTTCTTGTACAAAAATTAAATAAATTAGAACCCAATTCTTGGATCGATATTGTGCCTCTGATGTCTCTCTGTACATTAGACATAATTGGAGGTAAATATTATAAAATTTTATGCTAAAAAAAGATAACATTTCGTAAAATTTACTATGGAAAATATCTCATTGTAGAGACAGCAATGGGAGTGAAGTTGAAATCACAAGAAAATGAAAGTTCTGAATACGTTCAAGCAGTGGGAAAGTGAGTTTTCTTATTAAAAACACAATAAAAAGAAAATTAATTTAATATAAATTAAAACGTTATATATATTATTAGAATGGAAAGTTTGGTTACGGAAAGCACAATGTATCAATTCGATTTTATTTACTACTTAACATCAGCTGGAAAAGAATTCAAGAGATACGTAAACATCATACATAACTTCACTAGACAGGTTAGTAAGATTGTGTGTAAGAAATTTAAAAGTTTCTTAATTTTAAAATTATCTGAAAAATTGAAGGTGATTTTGGAGAGAAAAAATGAATTCCTTAAAATATTACAAGAATTGAAAGTCGAGAACAAAGATGATGTCTTCTTTCAGAAGAAGGAGAAAAAACCATTTTTAGANGTATACATTTAAGATTTGAAAACAGATAAAAGGTAATTTACTTCTTATTTCTGTAAATATTTAATTAGTTTTTCTCTATAAAATTATCAAAAAATTAAATTATTTAATATTATTTTTAATGCCTATCTTACAGAGCTTGGAAATGAATACATTCGATGCCAGAAAAAAGGAACATGTTTGAGGTATACAATTCGTTAATGTGAATGTATACATATGTATCAATAAATTTTATTTTAACAATTAAATATCTAAGTATATATTAATATAGGATTGTAAGATAAATGGGATAAAGAATACAACATATGAGCAATCAACAATCAATTTAATATGAATTTATTATTGATTGTGACTACTTCTGTAGTTTCGTTTTCACTATCCGATGAGGGTTAGGACGTCAACCTACCCCTCCGGGTACCCGAAATCCAAACACCCCAGTAATGTTTTAGTGGGGTAGTCTGTATGGGTCACATTCTTTACCACTCGGCCACTCCATTGTGAGCCTGATCGAACCCACAATAGACGTTTAGAAAAGAAGTTTCTTTCGGTATGGAAAAGTCCAAATAAAAATAAAATCATTTAGCCAAGATAAAAATAATTTATAGGAGAGAAAAAGCGTTGACAACTGTCAGGCAAAAGAATCATATACTTACAAAGGAATTTTATTTTCAAAGTTTCTGATTTCCATTTGTCAATTTCTAAATGATAATATTAAGAGATTGTTTATTAATTCAGTTTTTATTTTAATTTTACGCCCTGTGGGCACTTAGTAGGTGTTTTTAGCAAGTCCATTATGGGTTAGATCAGGCGTACGTTACAATAGCCGAGTGGGGTGAGGAACGGGCCATCGCCCGAAAAATTTCCGGAACTTATCCGACCTATCTGAATTCGGTCTCGGGTCACCAAAGCAGTAGGCTATCACCCTAATCCCTCGGCCATCCGACTATATTAATTCAGGTTGTCCTTTCACATCATTACAAAATGCTTACAACTAAACGCTCATTTACAATCAAGATACGAAAATTAAATCTTGTCAATATTGATTGTGCTTTTTTCTTTAGGATCACGATACTACAGCTATAGGAATAAGTTGGACACTTTATAACGTCGGTTTATATCCCGATATACAACAGAAGGCATATGAAGAATTACGTAGGATTTTTGGAAATGACAAAGAAAGGCCGATTACTTGCGATGATCTGAGAGAAATGAAATATGTAGAATGTATTATAAAGGTAAACTATATATATAATTTTAAAATTCTTAAATTAAAAATTTTAATTTATAAACATAATTCTTTTCATTAGGAATCGTTAAGAATTTATCCTCCAGTTCCTCTCGTAGCTCGTTCTCATCCTGTTGAATTTAAAATTGTTAATTATTTTTACTATTGTGCTCTTAAACTATATAATTACAGGCCTAATTTTATTATTTTTAAATTTAGGTAACTTAAACTACACCCAAAAATGCACTTTTAACAATAGATATATATTCCCTACATCGGGATCCTGAATTCTATCCAGATCCTGAAACATTTAATCTTGATCGATTTTATCCTAAGAACAATAGTAAAAGGAATCTTTTCACATATATTCCGTTTTCGGCAGGTTCTAGAAACTGTATAGGTAAGATAGTATTTTATTATATTTGATGGTATATGAGTCTACTCAAAGTCTGTTTGGAGAATCAAATCCCGACACTCCAGTAATTATGGCACAAAGACAATAAAAGGAGCCATTCAGGATACATTCCATAATAAACACTAACTTTTAGGAGACATTCAGGAGTTGAAAAATTCAGGAGGCATTCCTTGTCTCCTGAAGATTCAACTCTATTCAAAAGTTTGTGTTTATTATGCATTTGTAATTATTGCAATTGCTATTTGCAATTTGCAATATGCAAAGTTTAAAAGTCCCGCCCGGACGCGTGTTTGGGGTGCCAAAAAGTTGGCACATTCTAGATAAAGACGTTTAGTAATCAAGCTTTATTGTGCAATTTTAGTATATATTTTCTAACGCTATCTAGCAATAAAATGATACATATGTGTCTTGAAATTAGTGACGCTAGATGGCATACTTTTCATTATCGCACCACCTATCGTTAGAAATTATATTAATGTCTTTACAACGTTCAGGACACAGATTTGCCCTAATGGAAGAGAAAATGGTATTACGTAAACTTATTACGTAAACTTATTACGTAAATAAGTAAATGGTATTACGTAAACTTATTACGTAAATAAGTAAATGGTATTACGTAAACTTATTACGTAATACCACTTTCTATTACGTAACTTCCATATTACGTAACTTCCGAATCTACGCCAAAGAGAAACCTGATAAAATGATCGAATGTCGCCAATTGGCACTCAGATCCATAAATGGTATACATTTAAGATTTGAAAACAGATAAAAGGTAATTTACTTCTTATTTCTGTAAATATTTAATTAGTTTTTCTCTATAAAATTATCAAAAAATTAAATTATTTAATATTATTTTTAATGCCTATCTTACAGAGCTTGGAAATGAATACATTCGATGCCAGAAAAAAGGAAAAGAAGGCTAATATTAAATCATTGTAACTTGATAAGTTGGCATAAAGATAAATACTTAGGCTAAAATCTTTTAATAACATTAATAATTAGAAATTACATTAATTCAATTAAGTAATTTAAATATTTGGAAATTAAATATTGATCTTGAATGGCACACGAAACAGTATAACAGTATCTTCTGCACTTTTATATTTTCAATGTTGATTGTTTAAATATTGATATATTGTTTATAGAA